CTTAGAACAGAGGCCCCGTCTCATCTTGATCCATTTGTAGCCGATAAAGGGTTTTTTTGCGATTAGTTGTCTTGTAATTATGTATTTTCTTCATTTGTAAAAAAATGTTTTAAAAACACTAGAAATAATTTTATTCCTAACAAAGTTGAAGGTAAGAACTTTCTCCATTAGTCATGTGTGATTTTAATCTTGTAGATCTACAGTAAAACCAAAAAAGGAAAACCTCTTGGTGGTAATCATTAAAGGCTTAAAAACATCAGTATGTTTAGGATTTCAAGACTACCCTTTTGACTGCTTATAAAACGTACTACATTCCAAAATACAGTCAAGCTGTGAACTTGAAAACTGTAATACTTTTTTGGGGGCGTTTTATTGAACCAGGTTTCAAAGCTTTTACCTGATCAATGCTATGCCATCCCTATCTAAAGAATAAAGTTTACTGGCTTGTATGAAGTTACTGAAAACCTAATGCCTCTTCAAGGCTCTTCCTCAAACACATCCCAGAAGCTCTATAGTGGAGCACAGTTCATTGATGTACCAGCTAAAAAGGAATTCAATAGGTTGAACTGATGTGCTTTTCGTCTTCAACTCTCATCTAGGAGCCTTGAAAGATTTCCTTGCAAACAGGACAGGATTTGGGGTCTTTGCTGAGGCAAGATTAATTGATTGCAGTAACTTGTGAGTTTTCACAACGCATTTGTAGTTTTGCTTAGACAAGGTTTTCTGATGGAAAGCTTTAGGAATTGAGTGAGCTTTTTTTCTTTTTTCCTGATGTATAGAATTTGCAGTCTCATTGCACATTCAGATAAGATACTGGTGTTCCTTCAATATGAAGCCTGAAGCCACTATATTTGTATCTTTCTTTTTTAAACTTGCTCCAGGGAGGGGAGGGTTGAGTTGTTCAAAGTATGTTTTGTAAAAGGGAAGAGAGCTTTATTAATTCGAGGGAACTCCAACTAAAAGGACTGCTTCTGAAACTGAGCTGGTTAGCCCCGCTGCAACTTGTTACTTAATGTGTATTCGTAAGATTGTGTCCTTCACACTTTTCACATCTTTTTTTCTCTAAAAACCCCTGAAGCAAAGAACTCGAAAGACACCTATTGACTTAAATGTTTAAAAGACCACCATAAAGTAATTCATGCTCCTACTTGTAAACATCATATGAAAATTGCTTGAATCATTCTGAATTTATACCAAGTATTTACAGTGATGCTGATCGGTAAATTCAAATAAATCCAACACACTTATATATTATGATATGACTTCTACAAAAAACTTAAATTATTCCACATGTAATTGTGTTATTCTTCTTGAATTAACCATTGATGTTATATTGAAAACTGCATTGATGTAAAGTGGAAACAAACCCACCATGTTCACACAGTTAACAATAATAAAAATTAAGCTTAATACTTTTTACTGTTACTTTGTTAGGTATTGCTCATTAGATACAAGGTATTTTAATACCTTCTCTCTTGCAGTATCTAATAAAATCTACACAAAGTTTAAAAATATTACCCTTGCATCCCATTCATTGTAAACCATTTTAGAAGGGTTGAGTGTATGAATACTTTTCTGAAGCACTTAAAAGATTTGTAAAAGTAAGGGATTTTATAACATGAACTTTAAGATACAGAGGTGAAGCTATGTCATACTGAACAAATTACTTAAATTTGAATTTCAAGGGACAATTTTCTTTTCAGATGTTGGTTAGTATGGAATTTCAGAAGCTGCAGTGCATTTGAGCAGGATACCAAATCTGAAACACCAGAGTGCTTGCACATGTTAATATTTAACATGCAGTCTTTTTATGTTCACATTCCTGCTTCTTTTCTGGCATAGGACCTGTCAAACTTGGTTGAGTTGGAGCTTTCACATGCTCTGTCAAAAAACGATATATAAAAATCCCATGAAAATCCTAATATTATAGAATGTTTAAATGCTTGTAATTCACATAATACACAATAATGATAAAATTGTTGATAATACACATGTATGTGTTGTTGTGGATGTTTTTAACTTTTCCTAGTTAAAATAAATTTGAATCCCTTCAGTGCACTTTAACTGAAAACATTTGATATTAAGAACGTACAGTGTTTTTCATCTATTACATGAATATGCTACATACTGTAATTCAAATTTTTAGAATTAGTAAGACTCATTTCCCAAAATCCACACCACTTTTCTCCTAGAGAAATGTAGCTTACTCCTAGATGTGGGTCGATATTTGATGAATTGAGAGATGTGAAGGAACATCTTGACTAGGAGTGTCAAACTTGTTTGCCAAGTTTGGACAGATTTTATTAATATATATATATAATTGTTCATGTGTACTATAATACATTAATATTTTCAGGACATTTTAATTTTGACAAGTGTTGAACAAATGTACAACTATTAACATCCAACCCTGACTGTAGGGGTAATCAGTTTTACAAATTTACGTCTCAGCGAAGGCTCTCTTCTTTGTAGCTCCTTCCCTTTTTTATCTTGCATGCTTAGCAGTTTTCGTCGTTGAACATCCTCCTTATTTTTAACATGTCTGCAAAATGTGTTATGATTGCTGCAGGTGTTACAAAAGCAAAGAGAACAAAGAAATCCAGGGTGTCTTACAAAAGGTACAATCGTAATACAATAGCCGACTTATACAGTATATTACAATTCCATCAGATACATTTTAGCTAGAAGAAAAGTCCAGATAATCTTTTAAGGACATCTTATTCTGTAGTTCATCTTTAACTATAGTTCCCATGGTGAAGACAGATCAATTGATAACCAAATTCTTCTAGACTGCATTTTGATAGTGTTGATTTGCTGCTTTCAGTCAAGCAGAAAAAATCTGCACCCTGAAGTGATTTTTATAAAGCTTCATGGAGCAGGTGGATGTCTAGTTAAGTACCTAGAGAGTATTATGTGGGGAGCGTGTCAACGTGCATTGGCTGCAAAAGAACAAGTAAAAGTTATTTTCACACGCTGAAAGTTAGTAGAAATGGAACATTTAATCTGTGTTCAGATTTTCACACCTCTCTTCCAGATCCCCCTTTGTTTGGATCACCTGTCAGCTCCTTATCACCTACAGTACTTTGCCCTTTGTTCTCCTGTACTTTATATTCTAACACCTTCCTCTCTCTCAATCACGCCTCAAAAAGGCTCAGCAGACGAAACATTTTTCTCCCTGTTTCGCTGTGGAATTTATATTTACTTGTTCATAAAAATCTTAACTGTGTGGTGTTGTTAACCCTTAGTGTTATTCCTGTATTTTAATGTTCATTAGCTAGCCCAGGGTTCTCCAACCTTTTTTTTCCTGAGGGCCACATTTGCTTCGGAAGAAAGGCTGGAGGGCCAGACAGTGGGAGGGTGGGTAGACAGGGAGATTTTATGATAGAGGAATAAACAGCACAATTTATACTTATAATAAATTTAATGAAAACCCTTATGTCATATATTGTAATTTTCAAATGAACAAATAGAGCTTAAAGAAATATTCCCATACTTGTGTACAAATTTAATGTGATATTTGGAATTGCTTCTGTGACAGAATGTCCTCAAATTCTGGTTCAAACTTTTTCCCCCCCGAATCAAAATCAGCTTGAGGTGCTCATCAGAGAGTGATTGTTCGATATTTAGATTTTACATATTTCATTTTTGAAAAGACAGAAAACATTCCACGAGCAAATTTTTGAATGTTCTTAAAACTCTCTTCAGGCAGTGATTTATAGAAGTTTAACAAATCATTTTCCTTAAACAGATCCCTATACAAGTCATTCACAGCAAGGTCTACTGTACTTTGAGCTGCATCTCAGGATGAAGATCTTCAACTTCACTTCCAAAAGGATTCTGGAACAATCTTAGGTTCTCTGAGATACTGTCAGGATCTTGAAAACGGTCTTCAGATTGCTGGTTAAAATGTGAAATCGGGTTTAAAGTGAACGTAATCGGGAAAAGGTTTGGTACATTTATTTCTGTACTTTTCACAAGTTGCAAAATGAACAAAATTGTAAACTGCCACCCTGAAATGATAGAATTTTTGCCCTGAAGTTTCACATTCAGTTCACTCATATGTGCAGTCACATCCATAAAAAGGCGATTTCTTTGCGTAATTCAAAAAATCTCTTTAGCACTTTAGCTTTGCTGATTCAGCTAACCTCACGGGGGTACGGAACGTCCCGATATTCACTCTTGATTTCAGATAGGAAGTTTTTAACTGACTGTGATGAAGGGAGGATGATCGTATAAAATTCACTGTCTTCACAACTATAATGTTTCACACTGATAAATTATGTTTTTCTTCAGTGTTTCTACTTTATCTGAATGCATTTTGCCAGTCAAGTCTGAGTACTTCTGTGGTTCGTATCGTTATGCCTTCGGATGTTAGAGTCAAGTTTTCTCTCCTCTTAACTCCTGACACTTTGATGTAAAATAAACAATGCAAGAAAACTCAAGAACAACAAACAAGTGAACCTAAGGTAAAGGTTATTTAACTTCTTTAACACTTGCGTGAAAGCATGCAATGGTGGCTCTCTGTTCTCGGGCCAGATAAAAATACCTGGGCCATAGGTTGAAGACCTTTGAACTACCCAATGGGATACATTTTCTATACTCACAGAAAGTATTGCTTTTGGCATGTGTTGTCTTTTCTAAGACCTGTTCATTGCAGGTATTTACAAATTATTCAGGACTCTGAACTCAAACAGTATTTTATGAAAAAATAATTAATCAAGGGCATGTAATGAAAATTAACATTAAGTATTCATGCTTGAACTTTCCCCAGTTTAGCTACTGTATTAATAAAATCAATCTGTTCTTCTTGAAGTGTCTTTGTCTTAACAGTCACCAAAATGTCCCCAAGTTCATAGGAGTTCCAGGTTTATTTTTTTAATAGTTTTTCTCAGTTTGTCTTTAAAAAAAATGACAAAGAAAGTCTTCCCATCTTTCTCAACTGAGTCAGTAGACCTAACGGTACATATACAGGTAAGCAATGTTTTCTTCCATTCTTTCAGAGTGAAGATCAGGAGCAAGACCGCGGCAAAGAGCCAGGCAACAGCGTGCCTCTGAGGAAAGTTGGTCGGCCAGGAAGGAAACGTAAACAGCTGCCCGTGAGTACAAGCCATTTTCTTTTCACTGCCATTCAGGTGTGTCAAAATCTGAAGCAGTTTGGAGATAAAACTACGTTGAAACTAGTGACATTTCTACATGGTAGTTGTGGATATTTAACTTAACCTCAAGTGTCCAGTCATATTTTTCACTCCATTGATTTGGATGGCGTTTTTTGAAACTTCCATGTCTGAACAGCTGTGGATGTTGATGCTTATTTCTAACCGGGCTGTAAAATGAGTGTGTGGGCTTTATAGAACCCTGCTGTCAGCATAAAGTGTAGTAATGCACAGTGAAGTCATGGTAAAGCGCAGAGAGGAGTGGTAAGGCATGACAATCAATCAGTGTGTAACATGAGAAATCAAAGCAAATCTTTGTTAGCAGCATGGTAAAGCCAAGGGAAATTTGCAAACATATACAGAATATAATTTACAAATGCTTTCTTCCATGGAATATTACTAATTTAGCTTATTCTACTGTCTATACCCAGAAATCAAGATAAGCAGAAGTACATTTTGCTTTACTAAAGACCCTGTAGCTCCCTACTGTAGAGGTTGTATAATAACACTACACTGCAGTGAGAGAAGTCTATGAAGTTTTTAATCCTAACTTTCTTCGTTAGCCCACTGGAAGAGTGACAAAAGAGAATGTGATATAAAACGTAGATGCAAGCCTTCAAGACTACGTACAGCTGATCATTATGTGAAAGCAGAGAAGGGGGTTGTTTTGGCAGCAGCCTTTAACTCCCCCTTGCATTTTCTGTGATGCCATTGTAATTTGGGATTTATCCCAGTGAAATGCCTCACGGTCTTAGCCATTGTAAAAGACACTGTAACAAATGTACATTGTTTTCATTGTCATAGTGCCATTTTGAGGTTTCCTAGACTGTAAACTTGGATGGTTTCTGGATAAAGAACACAGAGCCAGTGAATATCTGGCAGGTTACATCAGTCGCATGGGGCTGTATGCAAATCCTTAGGCTGCCAGAAAATACATTTGGGCTCATCATATATACCCATAGAGTCAATTACTGGTTTAATATGCTGGCTGTTTTCTTTCCTGTAGTTCATTTTTAACCCTTTAGCTGTCACCCATGGAAACAAGAGTTTGTGCTGTTATCAGGCAGTGACAAAAGTCATGAATATAATGGTTTCATGTTTTCCCATTCAGAATGCAAAGGGACTCTGTGGCAAATGTGTCCATCACCACCAGGTTGAGTAAACATACAGATGTCAAAGAGCAGTCTGTGGCAACCAGAAATTATCTGATTATAAAGTAAAATTTGTGGGTTTGCATTTTTTTTTTTAATCGGGTAACTTCTGAGAAAGGCTTATAAACAGTCAAAGTATTATTTGTACCTGGCCAGGGGAAAGGCATTTAAGGTTATGTTGGAGACACTTCAGTTCTTCAACAAACATGGTTTTTCTTCATGTTGACAAGACATCAGTACTTTATTCTGAAGGAAAAGTGTTATTATCCAGATAAGGTTTCCAAACTAGGTGCTCAGGTTTTTCCTGTTTTAAAGTTAGACACTGCATACTGCGGGATAAGATTATGGGGTTTTTTGGTACAGAAGAAATAACTTGTGTTTGTTTAGCAGTAAACTAGTTCTAACAAATATGCCATTTGTTAACAAAGCCCTTCATTTTCCATTAACTGGAAAACCTAGCTGAAAGAAAGCTGAAAGGAGAATACACATAGAATACTATGTGTTCTTTCATCAAATGTACAGAAGAGATAATGCTTATTAAATGCAGTGACCCATTTAATCATAGTATTACTGGGGTTATAGTTGGGAAATGTCCTCACCTTAGCAAGGTCAGTTTTAAAGGAAAGAGTAACCCAGTAATAATAGGCTTGGAGTCACTGGGGTGTATTTTTATCCACTGTCTCCGTGCTTCAACAGGGTTATTTTTAAATGACCTGAATACAGATTTTTATAGCTCCAAGCCAGTTTTGTTTTATATTTGGGATTTATTTATTGTACAGTTTTATAATAAATACATGTGCTGTACAGTTATATGTTATAAGACCTGGACACATGAGCATTCTGTTTTCATGAAGTACATGATGGGTTTCAAGGGTTATTTCGATTTTAGAAAGTTGTCATCATTGCTGCTCCTTTCTCCCTAAAATGCCATGTAGCAGATGTTTTCCTTTCAATTAGCCACACTACGGTGTTGGAAACCTGACATTTTCCTGTAGGTTATTACATTTCTAAAAGGGTCATGCGATGGGGAAAAAAGGCAAAAGAAGATCTTCATTTTTTCTACCTTTATAAGGTTGTTTTACTGCAAACAAAGACAAAATATTATACAGTGGGAAGTCATTAAAACTTCATAATCTAGTGAGGTGGCTAATTGAATACATAGTATCATTGGATGTGTAGGATAATAACATCATTTCACACTGCTTCATATTTTATTGTGTGTCTTAATGTGTTTAATTAATGTAGTACTAGGATTGTGGAAAAATCTTGTAAAATGATGAAGACCAAAGCTGCAGTTTTGCTTAGCCTTGCTGTTCATTTCCAATGAAAATATAACTTGTGTGCACTGGATAAGTTAAGCACTGTGTGATTTGAGCTAATTAAATTCTATTTCCTTCTCTTTTTTGCTGAGTACTTTTCTGGCATGTTACAGTTTTTACCAAGGAACACTCCTACTAGGTAGTAAAAAAATATATCATGGATTGCTTTCTTACAGTTCAAATTCTAAGAGCTTTATTATTGGCATTATTGACCGATGAATTAGCTGCTAACACTTTTAGAACTAAAATGTATCGTTTCCTTTGCTGTGTTCAGCTGCTGCTGCCTTGCATTATATTCGTGGCAGTTAGGTCTGTCAGTTAGCTGAAGTCAGTGTGTTAACTGCTGTTCGTCTATGGCCTAGAATGCTGAGGCCGATTGCGGGTCACTAGGTTAGTGAGGCTGTTGCATAACAGTTTTTTCCTTTCAGATGCCAGCGCCTTTCAGACAATTATTGTTACTCTGCCTCTCACACACTGCACATACGGCAGTCTCTAATCTCTCTCTTTTCTTGTTCTCCCTTCACATTGATGAATCTTTCGAGATAATTGTGCAGCATTCTTCTTCTCATTACATAGTTTGGCTGGGGGAATGTTTTTTTTTCCCCCCGGTATTGCAGGCAATAATCCTTTTGTATAATGATAGTCCCGAATATGGAGGCCTCCAGCTGAACTTAATTTTGTCACAGCCCAATATTTTTGTACTGACTTAGGCTATATTTGCAGAAAGGAATGATTCAACAAATGTAAAATAACGTAATAGTGAGAGGGTGTTTAGTTTTGTCAAGGTGGTTGAGAACATGTAGGATTTCTGGAATTTTGGCAGTTTTCAGTTTGCTGGGGGTAGAATCTGGGCTATCAACAAGCAGGGACTTGCAACGTCAAAATACAACTAACATTGCAGAGTGCTTTGAGGTAAAAATTCCAACTGACAAAAGCTATTTAAATACTTTACAAAAAAGGTTTTTTTTTGCTGACAGGGAAATCGGATTTCTAAATAAACACACCTGAAAATCCACTGCCAGCTCCTTCCTGCACTGAAAAGCATTTTTGGGTTAACATCTTGTGGGGAAATTCCATGATGACAGGTCTCACATTTTCAGCCACTGCAGATGATGGAGGCTCCAGTGGCTTTTACTGTAGGCATCTTTTTTTAACACATAACGCTTTAATGCTCTCTATGCTTAAGCTGCGTTTTAATTTCTGGTGTGAATATGTTGGTTTACACAGTCCATCTGTGTGAAAATGGTTATTGTTTGAGACAAATATTTGGGGTTTAGAAACAAAACTAGACAGCATTACTTGTCTACTTGATGGCAAAACTACCATCTTTTAGCGCTGCTTTCTCAAAACTGAAACTGTGTGCGTGAGGTAGGACTGGTTAATACTTGATGGAGACCAGCACTTTTACCTCTGGACAACACTTTCCTAAGCAGTGCCTTAGTATAGAGACCAAGGACACTGGGCATTAGGAGGTGCCCACGTGCCCACGTTGGGATGAGCCATTCAACCGGGGAGCTAACCCTGTGTCCTGGTATTGCTCCATTTTGGGCTCGTACATGCTGACCTGATTTGCTATGTTGTGGTGCTGCTGGTACTTTGTAGTTGCTGTGCATCACCATGTTTAGTGTATGAAATGGGTCCCCTCTATATGTAAAATGCTTTGGGTTCCTTTGTGATGAAAATTGCTATACAAATGCAAGGAATTTACAATTATTATTACTACGTTGACTTGCTTCTCCAAAGACAGAAGGAGACTAATACTAAGTCTTTGTTGAGGTCATCTTCTTTCCATTGATCAGTCTCTTATGTTAACAGGACAAAGTGGAGTGAAAAGAATCTGGGCAAATTTGTGCAGACAAGCCTTGTGTTTGATCTGTGTTATCTAGTATACCTGTGAAAATATTTTGCTCTGTAACAGGATTATCTATCCAAATTCATATTTCTGACTAATATTATTGTGTGATGCGTAAGGCAGGCCAGATTTGTTTGTCTGGATAGTAAATATTTAATGTTTTCAGTTGAGACAGCAGTACATTATATCCGGTTGTGGTTGAAAATGTTAAACGGGGCTTATGTTGTAGAGGTTCTGAAAGTGCAGACATTGCCGGTCTAAGTTAGCTGGTTTCCCCAACAGATGACAGAGTTGGGTGGGCTTGACTCAATCACACAGTTGTCTTCTCAGAAATTAAACGGCAAATGGTAAAACAGTCTTGTCAGTGAGGACTGCAGACTTCCTCCATTTGATGCTGAATCTGCTGTAGTTGCTGCAGGGCTTGCACTATGAAAAAGAAGACCCCAAACAAAGACGCAGAACAAACGTGAAAAACAGTTTTCTAGGATCATTGGGCAATTTGTGAAAAAATAATAAACTTTGCACGTTAGCATATTTCAAGGAATCTTAGTGATCTGAAATATTTTATTTTTTATGTCTGTCTTTCCAATTTTATAGTGTTTAAAAAATTAATAAATTTCT